GGTTGATACACAGATCTCGAGTCTGTGTATCAGAAAAGCAAATTCAGTTATATGAAATGTAAGGCTTGCATTAGACTTTACTGGCAGCAAGTAGCCCAAACCGCATGTAGCTAAGGAAAAAGTGAGGAGGAGGAGGGGCTGACTGGACAGTGGGTTCAAGGAATCAAGAGAATGCTAAAGAAAGTGGGAGTACCCAGGTCAACTTAGCGTCGGGGTCCAAACAAGATGCTTAGGGAGCTGACAAGATGAAGCTGCTAAAGGCTGGACAGTAGGCATGTTAGAGGAACCTATGGAACAAAAGGAATATTAAAAAGGAACTCCTCTTCTGTAGAGCTTTTTGAATTTATGTTTATTTTTTTTACAGGAACATAAAATGTGAGGTCAAGAGGGCCTTGCAAGGATGCTCTTCTGGTGCTAGCACTGGCTGGAACATTCTTCTCTGCAAGTGTGCCATGACTGTTTATCTCCCATCCTTCATGATCCAGATCATGTCATCTCCTGATCCTGTTCTCATCACAGTCTTTCATGTTCTTTCTAATACGTGTCCCTCTCTAGAATAACCCTCTGTACACACTTGCCTCTACCAAGTAAAGTCAGGACTTCAAGAAGGCAGCAACTTTTTGTCTTCTGTAAACCATTAAACCACTAGCATAGATCCCACTCAGGACCTCAGTATTTTCAAGGGAAAAAAACCCCACAGTACTGTAAATCTAGAACTTTAAGTGTTTCAAGGCACCAGATCCTGTGATCCTGTCCTTGGATCCTGTGATGGACAGCAAGGCTCAGATGGGTGTGTGTGGTAGTCTTCACCTGTTTTCCCCTTAGCTAATGTGATGGAGACTGAGTACCTTAATTTACTGTCCCCATTAAGCTAAATCATACAGCCCAAGGAAAACATTCTTGCTAGGGGCCCCTGACAGTGAATGCTCCCTTAATTTAGGAACAGTAAGAGAGGAGAATGGATATACCTTTTCTGCCACAAACAAACCATAAAGGGAATGTTTACATCCTTGGTCCATAATAAAAGCTTTCATGTGTATGGTTGTGTTCCCCAAGGAAAGAGTTTAGGACTAAAGTGGGTGGAGAAAAGTCTCTGCTCATACAGATAAATATTTCCCTCTATTAAAACAGATGGGAGCCTGGAGGTAATTAGATCCACTGTGTTAAGCAATCAGCATCATGGGGAGGAGGACCAAACAATCATGACAAAGGAGCCAGCTCTTACAGGTACAGACAGAAAGCCTTTCAATCAGCCGGATGAAGTCTCCGTTGTGCTGGTGGTGATCTGGGGCTGTTCATAGGCTGTTACTCTGGCTTCTCTCATCGTCTTCCCCCTCTCTTCTTCTCCTCCACAGACGTAAATACACTGAATCGGATGCAGCTTCCAGTCTAGTTGCCCTGTGTATATCCCACAGAGAGTACAGAAAACTCCTCTAAAACTCTCTAGAAATGCGACTGTTTTTTCTCGGCAGGATTGAACCTCCACAGGAGAGACATTTCAAATGACTTCAGTTTGCTTTCTTAGTTATTTGTACCTCTGCTGAATTAGAACAATATTTTTGGAGTCTCAAACACATCTTATTTATTCATTTTACAATAAACCAATTGTTGCTACTTGACTGAGTCATCAGCTACATGAAAATTGAGGGAAGATTGATTTTGTTCATTCCAAATGTGTGTGTGTGTGTATATAAATATAAATATAAATATATATATATATTTACCACAATAGATAGATAGATAGATAGATATAGATATAGATATAGATATAGATATAGATATAGATATAGA